ATAGCAGATCCTGCATCAAGCAGGGACTTAAACTAAGGACCCCTTTCTAGCTCTGGTGATACTATGATTTGATGGTGGATCCTCTCAACAGCCTCTCTGATTCAACATCCCCATCATTCATGACTAAGCTACAAACCTTTCCTAACTTTGCTCCTGGAACCTCTCAAGAGAAGGTGATGCCAAGATCCCCGCCAGGCGTCTCCTTCCAAGAAAGCATGCGTTTTCCCCTTTGCTCAGAACCAAACGGCTACAGCCAGCCAGCCCACCTGTGATAGCACGCAGCCACCCCCTTCATTCCGCTCCACCAGCGCTGATGATCTCGGAACAGCTTCCAGGCCAGAAAGGTGGCAGACAAGACCACAGTCTTGTGATGCTGGCTGGCTTGGGCATACTGGAACTGAAGAAAAAAGGGGACTCTTAATGGGATTTTTTCAGCATCCATGACAGTCTCCTCCCAGGAATCATCAGCTACCTAAAAATGGGTGTCTGTGCGTGTAATTCAAGTGGGAAACACCTACCCAGAACATTTTTTTCAGTGCTTAAACTGTGCTCCATTTAAGGCTTTTTGCAGTTCCTTGCTCTGAAACAGCTGCCCATGTTAGGAGCCCATGACCTACTGCTCAGCACCTTCTGAATCAAAGTTGGGGGTTGGCTTGTCCCTCCACACCCTGCGTGGACTCAGTGAGGCCAGCTCACCAGCTCACCCTCCTTTCTGAAGCCCCACCTCCCAAGTGCAGGGCACACAAGACCCTGTGCTGATGGATCTCCCAGCTTCGGCTTCCCCACACTTTGCTGCTTGAAGGGGCAGCGCAGAGGCTGAAGCAGAGTGCCCTGGCATCGTGCAGACATCCAAGGCCATCGTGGCAGGTCCTCAGGGCAACCAGAAAACATGAAGAACTGGGGCCAGGCAGCCTTGCTTCCAGTTCCCCCGCAATCTTTCGGTGAGTCTGAGGATAGGGACCGTCTGGCTTTTAATACTCTACAAACCCTCTTCTGTCAGCTTCTGAGAGTGAAGGGTGGGGCTAAAGTGCTCAGGACAAAATAAAGGTAAGACTCAGAAGGAAGCACTCAGATGCCTCTCTGATGGGAAATTAACAAATCTCAGGGGGTCACTCGGGTCCCACGTGGAGGCTGGCACGCAGAGGCTTCTGTTTCTGTTGGCTCACCTTCCTGCATCTTTCCCCGCAGGCTCGCTGTCTCCAGGTCCACAGACACTTCCGCAGCAGCCCCAGGCTGAAATGCAGAGCAGGCCCTTCAGCCAAGAGCCAGCTGGCACTCAGCAGCCAGTTCTGGATGCTCAGGACCAGGGACGACCCTCCCTGGGTCAAAACAAACGGCACAGGAAAGCAGAGGATGTGGCACTGGGGCTACTGGATGAAGACTACAACTTGCAAGGATGAAGCTGGGCCAGTGCGGCTCCTTTGGGCTTACACAGGTAACTTTGTCTTTTGCTAGTACCACAAGCTCCACCAGTTGGAGCTGTGGACAAAAAGGGGTGCCTGCAAGCACAGGTTCAGTCCAGGGTTGGCTGGAGCTTGCACCCAAATCCTTCCACACCCATATCTACTATTTTCAACAGGCTGGTTTACAGGAGGAACTAGCAACTACTCTAGCCAATTTATGACAAATCCCCTGCTGCTTACTCTACTGCCCTGCTGCATGAGTATGAAAGAACGTCGACAGCATCGCTGCGGAGAAAAGATGGGTGCAGGTCAGCGCCACCAAGGGCGAGCCTGCCACACCAGGCTTCACGCAGGTGAATCTCTCTGACCCTGTCCATCCATGCCCCAGCCCTGGCCCAGGAAGCGCTGAGAGGCACCTGTTGCCTTCCCTTCTCTGATGCCGGGCAGGGTTTTCACAAAAAACTCAGCGTATCTCGCTGTGAGCTGCAAGGCACAACGTCAGCATGTACGTAAGCAAGGCCCACGCCACCCCACTGCAGAACCCTACAGAAAGTCACCCGCCCCTCTGCGAGCACCTGTGGTGAGAAACGGCTGCCAGAGCCAAGGAGTGGTGCTGCTCTTCCTCCTTCCGCTCCAGGCGAGACTTCCAGCAAGCCCAGAACCTGCACGTGAGCTGGAACAGAGACCGAAGCAGCAGGGAACGAACTGTAACTTGATTTGCAAGACAGAGGTAGAGAGGGGGACTGCGCGGTGGGAACAAAGGGACCTCCTTTCTCATCCCAAACGACAGAAGCTGCTGCTTGCAGCAGAATTTGGGTCCAACGGAAGAGCGTACTGCATTCATCTGTCGCCCAGAACTACCTTCCATATCAGAAACATCTTCTTTTCCCTCATCCCCTCCGGGGCCCGTTCTGATCAGTCAGCTACCCCGATTCTTGGAAAGGGCCATTAGTTAGGTGCTATCAAGCTGGGCTCCACCATCCTGATCTTCTCTAGTAATTAATTGTAGCTCTTCTAAGAACTCTCTGATCCCGTCTGTCCATCCTCCTTGTCTACCCTCTTCCCTTTTCCTGCTTCCCTCCATGCTGGCAAGGATCATCTTTTCCCTAGACCGTTATCTGCTTAGATCACATACCAAGACGTGTGTTCGAGCTTGTTGATCGCTGCTTTCAGAGGAGCAACCCATCTATATTTGGCCCAGGACTGTTAACTGCTTCTTCTGGGAGTCCATGGTGCTCTTAATAAGTATATCCAAATCCATAATTCAAACATGTCTTGCCTGCTTTCTCTTTGTCACTGTCCAGTTTTCACAGCCTTATATGTTCTCATAAAAAGCAGCCTAATCCTTCTTGATGTCCTTTTTATTTTTCCTGCACACCCTCCCTCTTTAGCTACCTTTGAGCCCAGAGACAAAACTATCCATCGTTTCCTTTGTCATAACTAAGCAAACAAGCTGGCAGTACCCAGGTTTTTCATTGTGGAGATGCAAAGGATAATCTCTAATAACAGTGTCAACACAACACCTAAGTTGCGGCCTGCAATTTGCCCCCCCCCCCCCCCCCTTTCCTGAATCATGGAAACAATTCGGCCACACGAAACTACACTTTTCAGGTTGACGGCTGAGGTGAGCGCAGAGGCAGCAGTGGAAACAAGGGTGGCCTCACCGTGACTCGGTGCTGCTGACAAGCCAAATTCCTTCTCACTTGCTTGAGGGAAGCTTCCCTGACGTTCCTCCGCAAGGCGCGAAACCCACAACTCTGTGAGAAGGGAAAGAACAGCTGGCCTCAGTCCCAGATGCAGGGAAGGTGTGCCTACCAGGAGCCTCCAGAACAGCCCATCCTTTTCATCATCTGTGAAAACAGAGTTGGGGAAGCAAAACGAAGCGGGCAAGCCGGCGCGTGTGTGTGTGTGGCCTGGGCACAGGGCCAGGGAAATCCTCCCTATTCGCTTGCCCTTGAAGTGCCCAAGATCAGTAGCCGCGGAATAACAGCGTGTGGAGCAGAACGCGTGCCCTTCCAGCCCCGTCCTCCTGCTGCTTGCGCAAGTGCGGGGGAAGGAGCACGAGAAGCGGCTCTCCCTGCTCAGAAGCCGCCCTGAGGCGTCCAGTCTTTTCCACTGGGGAACCACAAAGCTCTTACCAGCAGGCTGCGGTTATAGTGGCTTTCAGCCAGCCCATAACGCCCCGCTGCTTCGGCACACGATGCCACGTCTAACGGATGGGTTAAGAAATGCAACGGTTCTCAGCTGGACGGGACTAACCTGCAGCTGTTTATCCCTCAGAGGGAGTAATCCAAAACTTCGCAAGATGAATTTGCATGGCTGAAGCACTGTTTTAACATAATCCAAATGTACGCCTCAGTCAGTTTTACTGTCTGGGTTAATAGGCAGTGGCCCTGTCTGTCACCTCTATTTACCTTTGTAACTTCTAACATATCTATTTATTGCAAAGGGACTCCAGCCAGTTTACACCAAAAATAAAAGCAAAATCCATTAAGAGCACGTGCTTTATCTCAGGCGGCCACCCACTCCATCTCAGCAGCACACCCAGGGCCCTCTCAACTACCCTGGATAGGCTAACAGGGAAGGTGGCAGGTATTCCTTGGGGAAAGGGTTCTCAAAGGGACAGGAGCCTCCACAGCCCCCCGCACACGTGTACCAGTCAGGCAGATTCCATGAAGACTCCCTGGAGCCAAGCCATACGGGCTTCATGTTTGCCTTTGCATACAACTTTCTTTCACGTACGTTCTTACTTAACATAAATAACACCAATGATTCTCCTTTTTTCTATGCAACTTGAGAGTTGTTTTTAGTAACAAAAAACTGGTGTAGAACTTCTGTAAACAAACAATACAGACCTCCTTTTTCAAACAGAAGCTCACGAACACATGGGGGGGGCTCTGCGGGGACTTCTGGCTAGAAAGGGATGGCCCCTGGTCCCGCCCACGGCAGCCCCCAGCAGCAGGATAGCACAAGAGTGGATACAGAGCTCCCAGTGCGCAAAAGCCCTTCGCAGAGCTACGCCAGCTGCAAGCTGGGCAAGGTGCTCCGACCGCTTCTTGTGTTGCCGTGCCAGCTGCCAGGCTGAGAAGTGCCACAGGAGCAGCTGGGTGCGGTGGTGCTGCAAAGCCAGCCCTGGGAAGAGAGAAAGACGGGATTTCCAGCCGGCTGCTCAGAGGAAAGGCAAGCGCTGGGCATTCCAAGTGGCAGACGTTCTGATATTGATCAGGATAGGGATGTGAAAATCCCCGCCAGCGGTTCATCTGTGAATCCGGGAGTGAAAGCAGCATTTATACACGTTCAAAAATATCCCCTGCCCTGGAATGGCTATTTAATCATAATAAGCTCAACTAACTGTCCCCCCTGCCCTCGAGTCAGTGTGTGGAGGCAATAATCTTCTCCTATCCCATTCATGGCCTTTCTGCCTCAATCTCAATCTCATCGACATCGGTGCTTGTCCTGGAGAGCCACCTCTGTTGGGGTCACGTGCCCCCAGCTCACCCAGGCCGTGCCTTGCAGCCATTCCGCCTCGGACCCTCCCGCACTCGCTGCCCCGGAGAAAGGCCTCCTTCGCCTCCGCGGAGCAGGAGGGTCCTCCTGTGGCTGCCTCCCTGATCAAGAGGGGCACTCACGGCTGTTGCGCCGCTTCTCTCTCCGCTGGTTCACATAACGGAGCCAGGACTCCAGGCCCTTCCGCATCTTCCAGCGCTGCAGGGCCCTCGCTGCCCAGCCAGCTGCCGCCTTCTCCCGCTGGAGTTGGGTGTAGAGGGCCTTCCACTGCAGCCAGGCCTGACAACAAGGATGACCAGAGAGGCTAAAAGCCAGAAGCAGGCAGGGAAGGGAGAACTAAGGCTGAGCATCGCTTGGGAACCAGACCACTACACTCATTCCACAAACCCTGGTTAAAACAAGCCATGGGTTAATAGGATGTGGTTGCTCAGCCTTCCCTCGTGGGCCTAAAGTACATGAAGGTTCTGGACTCACACGAAGTTGCACGCTGCGTGCCCACTGCCGGAGGGCCTGGTTATCCATCACATGGTAAACCTGACTCTGGCACCGTCGCTTCTGCCACAATCTCCACGAGAGTCTGTTTGAAACAAAAGAGCAAAGACCTGCTTCAGACCGTAGCTCTCATCCCGGAGAACAGCTTTAGGAACGTCATGGGTGCCAGAATGTTAGGGGGCCATGTCAAGAGCCCACAGATCTGGCTGGAGGGGGCTGTTTAGGCCATGAAACCCCTCTCCCCCACCTCACCTTGAGCCTTTCTCCCCGAGCAAGTTTGCTCCTCAGCAGCTGGGATTTGCTTGGAGGGGGAATCCTAGAACCTCCCCCATTCAGCAAAGGAATTCATATTAAAGTGGCCGAAAAGAAGTCTTCTCTGGGCTCCTCTTCAAAAGACCCAGGGAAAGGCAGCCCACCCACTTCCTCTAACCCAGCCAGCCTTCTCCTTGTAAATTAACCCCATTAATCTGCCTCCTGAACCCCCAAATGGGAGAGATCAGATCTTGACATTCTTCCGTGTCTCTCTGCGAACATTTCAAAGTGCTACTACATCCCCCTCCATCTTCTCATGGCTAAACATTCACAATTTCTTCCAACTCCCCCAATTAGCCCCCACTTCATCCACTGGCCAGACATAAACTATTACTTTTATCCACTAAAGTGGTTTTTCACCAGTGTGCTGGGAAATACTGGGGCTCCTTGGTAGCCTTCCCCTTCAAAAGTGCCCTTGCAGAGGGCTGCAGCCTGGTCCCAGAAGATCTGCTGCCCTGTCCTAAGCCGTCACTGGTAGGGCCACGGTTTAGGCAACAACACAATAAAAACATTGCAATATCACTGACCCACCATGACCTCAGACTGCACAGGAAGAGAGGGAGCCGAGCTTTGCACCTCAGGCTACAGAGACAAAGGGAGGCTGTTCCCCAGAAGAGTGTTCAGGCCTGGGATGTTTGGAGGGGGACTGCGGCCAAGCCCCGCCAGGCCTCCCACGGGCTCTCACCGCAGGGTGCTCTGCTGCTGGAACTGCAGCGCCTCCCGGTGCATCTGGTGCTTCATCCTGCGCAGCTCAACGTAGCTCAGCCAACGCTGCCAAGTCCCAAGGATTCTCTGCTTAGTTGCTGCAGGACCCGGTTGGCAAGGTCATTGGAACAAAGAACAGGGCTGGGTTCACACATCATGCTAAGCTATGGTTTAACCACAGTTTGCTAATCAAACACAACAGCTAGGCTCACCTAACACGCAAGCCAAGACTAAACAAACAACATCATAGTTTAGTTGTTTAAGGCAAGCCTAATTAAAAAAAAAAGTGTGTCCTTTTTTTGACAAAAATGCCATTTTCCAATCCTTTGGGAGCACGGTCCTAAGAGGAATAAAGCCCAGCTGGTGAAATTGATGATGCCAAAGAGAGCAGACTCTCCAGCACCCCAAGAGAGAAAGCACCGTTAAAGGCGGCGAGCAACAAGCAGGAAAGGAAGCAGATTAGGACCAGGACAGCCGGGATGCCCTTTCCTCGATAACCAAGGGCTGCCGCTGCCGATGGAGCCCCATTTGGGTAAGAACAGAAGCAACAAGGAAGAATGAGTGTCAAACCCAACCCAGATGTGCACAACAGATTCACGGGTTGTGAGGCTCTTCTGAAGCAACAACAAGCGGTGTTTGATGAAAAGAACCTCAGAATAGGGGAGAAAGCAATCAAGCAGTGGTGGGAAGAGGCAGAGATGCCAACGGTGACAAACAAACACTATTACTCCTACATAGGGGTGGCTGCAAAGAGCTCTGGAGGAAGAAAGACGTTGACATTCTCCTTAATACAACTTGCTAACCTCCCTGTTAGTCTTTTCCATTTTTGCTGTTCCTTGCATCCGCTGTTTCTGCCACAGTGTGTTAGAACTGTGGTCCTGAAAGGGCAGAGGGAACTCTTTGAACTTTGGGGGCAACTTAATCGTGGCGGAAGATACAAAGTGGAAGTTGGATCCCAGCTCTGCACCTGCCACAGCATGAACTAAAGAGCAGCAGTGGGGAAGGTACAGCTGCCCAGGCCTTTCCCTGCAGCAGAAGAGATGCTTGCAGGAAAGGGGAGAGCACTCAGCGGCCCAGGGAAAGGGCCCGCACCTTCCATGCCATCTGCCCCATCCCCAGGGGAGGGACAGGGGGAGAAAACTCTTCCAGCCCAGAAGCACTTCCAGAATTTGGGGAAGATACAGTAGGCACAGCCACATAGGGTGCACACTGTGGGTGGGCAGCCCATCAGGGGAGATGGCAAACTGTCTGAAGGAAGCTCTCTCGGCCTCTCAGGGGCCCCAAAAGCCTTTCTGCAGACACAGGGCCAGGTTCGTGCTTGGCTTTGCAATACGCTAGCTTCCCTTTTTTATTAGAAGAATTTTTAAAAAGGAGTCCAGTGAGAGAAGAAACTGGGCGGGGCACAAGAGATGGAAAGGGAATGGCCTGGAGCTCATCTCCCCTTCCAAGACGTGGGCACTGACCCTCATGCCCCTTGCCCAGCCCAGCCCTCCCACATTCTCACCGTGGGCTGCTGCAATACGGTAGGTGATCTTCTTGGCGCGTTGCTGGAGCAGGTGGGACCTCCAAGCCTGAAACATCTTGTTGTAGAGGAAATACCTGATGAATTGAGAACATAACACTTGGTCACCCACCAGGATCAGCTTGAGCTAGGCCCATCTAGATGACACGATCCACTCTGAGGGATTTGTGGAAATGCTTTCATATCATATGCTTCTTGCCTAGAAAAATTATTTTACATAACTTTTGTGTGCGTGTGTGTTAGGAGTTAGTACCGGCGGGACTTTTCTCTGCAGCCTCAACAAGATCCAGCAGCAGGTTGGTGTACAGGAAACTGTCTGGATACCTCAAATGTTTTATAAAAATGCTGAGTGTATTTCTTTTCCTTTCTCTCTTTTTTTAAAGAAACTTCATGGGCCACCAAAATTAGCTATTGGAAGTGGAAACATCAGGATGACAATGCCAAGTGGAAGGGACTGAATTCCCATTTCTCCAGATGGGGGCGAGAACAGTGATTTTTTTTTTTTTTAATGAATTTGGTCTATGTTAGGGTTTACCCAACAGGTTTTGTACACTTCCTCTCTCCAAAGAGCATGAAACCAGGACTTCTGCAGAAGGAAAGGTGAACTGAAGGCGACCCCACTAAAAACAGGGTTGACGACCATGGCGGAATGAAGAGCCGGCAAGTAGACCAACTCTTCGTAATTCCTCTCCAGACAAGGAAAGGACTTCAGATTGCCCACAAGCGCTCCAGACAGTTGTCCCTTGCGAGGAGACTGCAAGACAGCAATCTCTGGCAGGAGTAGCGCTCTGGGAGACAAGGGAACAGCCATCTTGCTCAGCCCACAGTAGGTGCCTTCAAAAGGACCCTGGGTTCGCATACTTCCTTTTCTAATTCCTTTTGGAAATTGCTTGTTCACTGCCATTCAGCTATTAGGAACTGCTGTACGGC